CTGGTTGCTGCTGTGCTGGTAGGCTGATGCTGCAATCATATGATCTTCATTTTAGTCCCACGCACTCAACATACCCGTTTAAAATTGCGCAACACAGAATTTAAAATTATGAGTTCCAGAAGAGCCAGCCTCCCTTCCTCCAGTTCCATAGACATCCAAGGCCAAAGTCCAAGAGCCGTATCTTATAAATAGTTGTAGATGGAGGGGGGGCAGAGCACAGGCCCTAGGTATCAGCCAACACCAGCTTTGCAGACTCACACCCTCCAAATCCAAATAAAGCGTGATATAATAAACAATAACGGTCCATAGGAGATAAAACGGTAGTATGCAGGGGGGTATCTTATCTTCCCCCTCTCCTGAAGTCCTATGTTGTTGAATCATTACATAAAAACATAAATTTAGTATGTTTAATGTTCCTAACACTGCCTCAAACCCATTGTGCTTAATGCAATTGAATAAGAACAGCAGATAAATAATTGTAAATAATTACATGATAGGTACATGTAAATTACAGCAATATTTGAACTGATGTACCCATGAGTTAATTTATCCATGTAAGGAAAACTGCACTGGGCTCTATCATGTTGCAATGCTTAAGATATATTAGCACACGCTGAAAGTACCCTAGCACAATACTACTTGATACAAAAACATTCTGCCTGCAAACAGCTAAAATTACATAGAAAGATATTCTAGTTAGTCTTTTTCTTAATGTGGCTCCATCTGCAGTAGAACCTCTGATAAAAAAGAAGCGTGACTACTATTAAAATAATACTGTCCATAGAGCATTATCTAATATTAATCTGTAAAATAGGGTCAGTAGTAGCTTCAGGATAGGTAATTTTATGATATTCAGGTTAAGGCCCACCAAATTTGGGGTGTCCTTAGACAGCTGTTAGGTTGTTAAATGGCACTAAGACTTAAAATTGTCTGTGTCTCTTCACAGTCATCTAGTAGTCATCTGCATTGAAAACCAGTTTGGTCTGATGGTTAATCCTTAACCCTGGTTAACTCTGGTTAATACACCAAGCAACGAACAAGAAAACCCGAGTTCCAATCCTACCTTAGGCATAGAAGCCAACTGCATACTTTGGGCTCTTTTTCAACCTAAGGAAGAAGATAGTAGCAAGCCACTTCCCAAAATGTTGCTGAGAAAACTGAATAAATTTTTCCATATAGTCACCAGAAGTCAATATATAAATGTGAATAAAAAAATAATTCTTCTTCCCAGGACCCTCTTCTGCTCAAGTTCTTATATATGTTTGTACAAAAAACTAAACACAAATGTACTTAGTGCTTATCAATTATTTGCATCACATTATCTTGGGTAGAAGCAATATAAATTAATAAAAAAAAACAAGACAGCAGTTTTGTTTCATGGTGAAGATGTTCTAGAACTGAAAAGACTTAGGCTCATGTCTGCTTTGATGCACAGAAGCTGACTGGTTAATTGTGGGACATTTTTCAGAGATAAAATTGGAGAAAGGCATGATAGTTGGGCAACAATGGTAAGCCAATAAATAAGTAATTAAGATTACTACCTTTCTTCTTTTAAAAGCTCCTTTGGTTCCTGGCACAGCTTCACAAACAAGGCCAATTGCTTCTCTAAAAAGATAGAATAGGATGTCAAAAGCAAATGCTTGTGCTATTTTTCTTCATTTATTTTTACAAACAGGGCTTGAAAATCTAAATTGGTCCCTTATGACACACACACACACACACAGACACACAGACACACAAACACACATATCTGCAGAAAAATCTGAAGTTAAAATTAGCATTGTATGATATTAGGCACTTGAAATATTGTATATTTTGACTATTTCATACTTGTATTAATTGTGCTAATAGGAACAACACAATTACTCAAACATCAAATTTTCCTAGAGGAATGTGAGTTAGTAGCATAATACATTTTCAATGCATGGATTTTCCTTCTATCTGAAATATATTTTTTGGGATTTCTGGAGTCAATGAGATTGGTTTTAAATTAGATATAACAGGCATTTCCATACCAAAAAGAGTATATGAACATTTATTATGAACCAATGCAAACAGTCTGAATAAATACATGGCAAACTCTGTCTTACAGTAATTTTCATTTCTTACAGTTTTTGGTTTAAATGCACACAAGCACATAAACGTACACCAGGACAGAGCACAATCCTTCACAGTCAAATCAGGTCAAATAAACTCTTATTGAATATGATGTCAGGGTGATCTGACTGCTTTGTTATAGAAAAAGACTCCTCAGTCTTAATATTTACTTCTATTATAGAGTGACTGCTAATATTATTAGTTGTATGCTGAGCTATGACTGAAATAAAATAAAAGGAAATATAATGTAAAATAAGAATTTAGTGTTGAATAACCTTCATAGTTCTATAGCCAAAAACAATCGGCGGTAATGTTCTATAGATACAGGTTGTCCTCGATTTACAACCACAATTGTGTCCAGGATTTATGTTGCTAAGTGAGACATTTGTTAAGTGAGTTTTGTCCCATTTTATGAGTTTTCTTGGCACATTTGTTAAGCGAACCACTGCAGTTGCTAAATTATTAACATGGTCATTAAGTGAATCTGGCTTCCTCATTGACTTGGCTGGTCAAAAAAGATGGTCACATGGCCCCAGGACAGAAGTGGGTTCCTACCAGTTCGGACCAGTTTGGCCAAGTAGGTAGTAACTCAGCCGGCCACGCCCCTGAACCAGTTCTATAGCCGGCACCATCTTTTTACTTCTGTGCAAAAGAAATTTTTTTACTACTGCGCATGCACGCATAGCAGGCAACAAGCACACTAGCACAAAGCGCATCCCTGAGCGAACCAGCAGTAACAGAAGTCGAAACTTCTGGAAACTGCAACTGTCATAAATATGAATCAGTTGTCAAGCATCCAAATGTAAATCACATGGCCATGGGGACTCTGCAATGGTCACAAGTCTGAAAAATGGTCATAAGTCACTTTTTCAGTGTCATTGTAACTTTGAATGGTCACTAAATGAACTGTTGTAAGTTGAGGATTACCTGTATAGGAAAACGAGGACTGATGCAGAATGATCCATGGTGCAGAATGACCACATACAAGAATCAAGAACTCATCCCTAACTTCTCCATAAACCATTTTGCTTAGCATGTTTTAGAGATGATTTCAGTATGTTACATGTATCCAAACTGTTCAGAAATACAGTTGTTTTTTTCACTTTTCATCCACAGTATTGCCAAGACTGTATTTTATTATTATCATTATTATCATTATTATCATTATTATCATTATTATCATTATTATCATTATTATCATTATTATCATTATTATCATTATTCGCAACAACAGAATTGTATCACAGCGGCCAATTGTTTCACCAGATTTGGCATTGATTACTAGTCGGNTCTGCACTGATTGCTTGATAGAAGGTCACAAAAGGTGATCACATGACTCTGGGACACTGCAACTGTCATAAATATGAGACAGTGGCCAAGCTTCTGAATTTTGATCATGTAACTGAGGGGATTTGACAATGGTCAACTTCGAGTGGTCACTAAATGAATGGTTGTAATTCGAGGACTATCTGTATTTTAAAGAGCACTTGTATTGACTGAAGACAAATAGGTTTCTAAATAGGCACTGCACTTTTTAATGATCCTAATTGCTATGAATTCAATGATCATATAAACATGTACACAATAATACACATTAAATGCACAAACTCATAAATAAATATAAATATAGCCTAGTTTTTTTCAGGGACCATTTATTGCTGGAGGTTTGTGCCCATCCTGTAAATTGGGCAGAGTTGGCATGCTCTTGGTTCAATCAATTAAACTGTATCAACTGATGGAGTCCATGAAATGGGCCTTCTGTTTCTGGGACTGTCCTTTTGTAAGAACTTTCCGTCAGATTCATATGGCCTGTACCCTGGCTTTACTTAAATTAGCCCTTTAAACCTGATTCTTCTCCAAGGACTAGAACTTAGAGTGGCAGGCCCGATGTATGATGATTGAATTTATAGAGACTGAGCTATTTTCCTTGCAATATTTGGTTTTATTTGGTTGTGTATTATATTGTCTCAAATTCTTTAATATTGTATACTAGAGATACAGTGGAGTTGGGCAGCTTGTGTAACCAACCAACCAACCGATAAAAAACTTATCTGTCTCCGATCTCAATTTTCAAAAATGAAGTTTGAGAGCAGTGACTATTCAGCTCCACTTAATTCTATTAACAATTGCTGAGATTCTTGCTAGATTTTTTAGACAAAATAATCTTAGTATGTTGAAATTAAACTTGTCTGTGATTGGATAGTAGAGGTATGACCTTTTCAAGCCTACTGTGTACCTCTGAAGTTTGACATCAATGATACACTATGATGAGAAGCAAGGCATATAGTCTTAAACCTCAGCTGAATGGCTAGTTTCGGTTGTTTCATTCCATGTCATTTGAGTTGAGAGATGATGTACAAATCAAATTTATCTTGCATACTTTGTGATATCCAATAATGTGAAGCCAATCATCTGGAGGTCTTGTTTGCATTGTTACAAATATATAAAAGATACATGCCTATCTGTTTTTTGTCAATCCTACAATAGTTGTTGATATCCTGAGGGAGTCACTGGATAATGTTTGAGGGAAAATAGACATGATTTAATTCAGACATTTTGTGAATTGGGAAATCAGCTGTTTGGAATGGTAGACCTAACTACTTAGTGGGATTACTTTCTTCTTGAAGAATTATGTGTAAGGTTGAGAACTCTCTTGAGCTCTCTACTATAGTCAATAGTTTGACTGGTAGAAGTCATAAAAGTGAATTTTGTTAATTAAAGGCAATATAGCAGCTATCACATGTTCAAAGCGGTAGGAACTATTGTAGTCATTTGTAACCCATCTCTACTTATCACTAAACTGAAATAATGTTGTTATACATTGTAGTTGCTTTGAGTCTAGCTCAGAAACTCACAAACACCTCAATGTGAATGAAAAAAACAATGGAATGAAATGAGTTAGGTTTAGTTAGAAGGTGAGTTAAAGAAGTGGATACTAACTAAATCTGCCCAATTTTAGGATTGGGCAGAGTATTTAGTTGGGCACAAACTTCACAAACTGTATATATTTGTTTATATTTATATGCATTTAATATGTATTGTGTGTGCACATATTTATATGAGCATTGACCCACCGTATAGGAATTAGGCTCATAAAATGCAGTGCCTATTCAAAAATCTATTTGTCTTCAGTTAACAAAAGTGATAAGAATGTTAACAAATATAATAAACCACCTTTGTTAAGATAATAAACCAGGAAAAATCTGAAATGCTAGAGATGAAACCAAACATACTGGTAGATCAATGGAAAAACATTTTATAAAAAGGAAAGTTCATATTTCCTTTTCTATTTTCTATTTCTACATAGGGCCTTAATACAGCTCTCACTTTAACATGCTTCTGTACTGTTGTGACTTTCCATCCAATTATTTTTTTTTTTTTTTTTTTTTTAGGATTTTATTGGAAATTTATATGCCGCCCTTTTCCCTGAGGGGACTCA